TGGAGTCATCCAAGTCCTTTGGAGCTCACAATTTGCCAGATTGCCTGAAAAGGATGCACACAGAACTACAGGACTTAATGTTTGCCTTGCTGGATTTTGGACTTGCTTTGGTCCTGTTCTTTGTATTCCCATTTGTACCCTTTGAAAGGGTAAAGTTTATCTTGTGCCACTGCATGTTGGAAGTGTTTAACTTTGTTTTCATTTTGTACAGAGGTATTAAGCTAAGAATCTGACTTTTCTCTCTGAGGAGACTTGAGACTTAAACTTTTCAGTAATGTTGAAACTGTTAAAACTTTGCCAACTATTGCAGATGGATTAATGCCTTTTGCATAAAGGGATGAGTCACTGGGGATCAGGAGTAAAATGTTATGATTCTAATATAATATATGATTCTAATATAATATAATGTTGATAGATTTAATGTTGGTTCTTAAGGATTGCTAAACTTGTGTTATAAAGCTCAAACTGTGAAATGGTTAAAAAAAAAAAAAAAGCATGCCTTTGTACCTGGATACCTACTAAAAGAAAAGTGTCTGCTTGCTAAACTGACAAAAAGTAGATTGTTACTGTTGATACATTGTGTCAACTTGAACAGCTTAGAAGTTTAACAAAGAGACTCAGCAGGGAGCCAGGGTTTTTATTTTGTAAATATCCTGTGCAAGAGGATGGCAGGATTTTGTGAGCGCTATGTGGGCCCTGGAGTAGGGGTGGCTAGTGTACAATATAAAAGAGAAAAAGAGGCTTGCTATTTTCCCCTCCCCCATTTTGCTCTGGCTGCTTTTGCTGGCTGATGCCTTCAAGGGTTGCCCAGGAGCCATGTCATCCTACTTGGGGCCAACTAATTATGGACTGAAACCTCCACAAACTGTGAGCTAAATAAACCTTTCCTTCCTTCATTTTGGGTGTTGGGTATTTTTTCCCCAGCAACGAGAAAAAAAATAATCAAAACATCTGGCAACGAATAAGGAATTAAGTACTGATGCCTGCTACAACATGAGTGAATTAAAAAAAAAAAAGTACTAAAAAAAAGAAACAAGTGACAAAAGACCACATGTTTTATGACTCATACATATGTATATAAAATGTCTGGGATAAACAAATCCATGAAGACAGATTAGTGGTTGCCAAAATTAAGGACAGGTATGGGAGTGACTACCAATGGGCTTCTTTTTACAATAATGAAAATGATCTAAAATTGACTGTGGCAATATACATACAATAAACTACTGACATACATTTTAAATGGTTGATTTTTAGGTACTAAATAATCTCAAGAAAGATGTCAAAATGGTAACAGCAAGAAACACTGACTAGTGATTGTGGAACTATGAATTCTTTTGTACAGCACTCATATTCCAGATGCCTACTGGGCACACAGTACAAATATATGGGATAAGAGTCACCTTCCACCTGCAAGATAGCAAATTCTCTAATGACAACCAGTTGGCCAGCACGGTGAAAGCTTTTGTTATTTTTGGAAGACAGTACTGCAATATGCTTGCTAACTTGCTGGACAGCCCCAAGATGCCAGCAACCAGCCACAACCCACACGTTAACCCTTCTATATGCTGAATAGGCAGTAAAAAAGGTCCTAAGACTATAAAATGATTTCATGGCAAAAAGCAAAACAAAACAAAAAGTATGGCAAAACACAGACACATTCTTCATTCTGAACTCCTCCCTATCTTCTACCTCCAAACAGATGTCTCATTCTGAATCCGACACATTTAAACTATAAGTACATCATGAATCAGCTAGAATTATATAATGCTTAAGTAGGAAGGACCTTTAAAAGTATGACATAATGGAGTACTGCCTCTGGAGCAAATTTATAACTGTGATCTTGGGCTCATTCCACTGCTTTTTGACTCAAGATCATTTGAAAAAAGGGAAAAGTAAAAGCAACTGCTTCTCAAAATTGCTACAAATATTAAATGCCTTAATCCATGTAAAATGTTTAGAATAGTGGCACAGTGTAAGTGCTACTTACTAAGTTGTTTTGTTTTGTTTTTTTACAACTTTTATGAACTGGTAAATCCCATTTTTATGGTGGAAGATATTAAATTCAGAATGGTAGTGACTAAGGTTGGCAAAGACAGAGCTGGTCTGAATATACAACCAGTGTTCTAAAGCATTAACAGATAAAAACTTTAAAAAAATTCCTTGATTGAATTTTAGGTCTTGAAAGATACAGTAACATAACAGTACCTCCAGTGGGCACTTGTCTTCATAACACAATAAAAGCATTTTAAAGTGTTTAACTCATTCCTTTTTCAGCCTCAATTTAACATCTAAGTGATTTCAACACTAAATCTCAAGAGAGCACAATGCTCTATCCTTCAAAAGCAAGATGGCTCACAAGCTTTTCTTCTTCTATTTTTTTAATTGAAGGCATACAGAGTACAAATATCCCTAGCAACTGAGTGAAAGGAGACTTCCTTTCGCACTGTAGAGGTACATTCTTGAAGCAGTTTAGATGCTATTCTTAGGGCCGGATGTTTCTAACTTTCTGTAATTGATACTTTAATTCAAGAAGTTCACAAAATTAACTACACTACTTTGCAAAAAACAATAAACAGCAGGGGATGCAACCAGAAAACTTTCTACACTTTAAGCTTTTTAAAATCTCACCATTTTTCATGCATGCACAACACATACATAATCACATCACAATGTTTAAAGCAGCCTATGAGACTCAATAATATCAGGCCTCCCACATATCCTTGCATCTTTGCTGTCTTCTCACTCTTCTCAGTCTCCAGTGAGATGGAGTCTCTTTCCTTTCCTCCAACTCAGGAGTATCTCTGTCTTGCTTTGGGGCCTTCATAACTGGCATTTCCTACATCTGAAAAGTTCTTCCTTATAACCTGCAATTGCACTGCTGTCTTAGGCTCCTCTCCACCCCACCTCCCCATACTTCCAGCTAGTTTAATTTGTCTTTCAGGTTCTGCTTACTGAAAGGAGTTTTCCTCAACACCCCAGATTACCTCCTTGCTCCCCCTGTCCCATCACACCTTTGAAACGTGCTTTGAATCACTTATCCACCAGACAGTAGGCTCAAGGCAGACCGGAGGTGTCTGACTTGTTCAACTATGCGTCCCATATTCCTACCACAGTACCCTGTACATTATGCATAGAAAATGAAATTAATAATCCCAGTGTGGGAGTGTAGAGCTTGCCTAGAATACACAAGGCCCTGGGCTTGACCCTGTCAAAACAAAAACAAAAAAAATGAATAAAGAGAGGTAAAGAAATTAACATTCTCCAAGGACTCAAAGGATCAAGTGCTAAACTAGCTTATCTTCCTCATTCAAAGCTGACACAAAGTATCCTATGTAAAGCTGTCCACATGACAAAAATACATAAACAATGCAGAAGTTAGCAACTCCTTCTAAAAAACATTTCAGAAAAACCAAAACCTTGAATTGAGATTATATGAATTTTAAAGTTACTATGAGCAAAACCACAAGAAAAAGTTACATTTAAAAATAAGCTTTAGAAAAAGTAATGATGTGGTCATCAAAATGTTTTACTGTCATTCAAACATGTTTTTTAGAGAGACCAACACTAAGGAGGATGGAGCTTTTGCCATTCTTTTCCAAAGTAAATTTATCTCCTAATGAAAGGAATGTATAAAACCTAATTCTAAGTATATACAAAAAAACAGCCATTAATGTGATGATCATAAACAGCATGCCCCCAAGTACAGGATGTGTAGGTCAAAGGAACAAGCAGCAAGATATGACATTGGTTCTAATGTCCCTTTTTGTTAGGGCTGCTACCCTGGCACCATTCACCACATGAACTTGAAAAAGAAAAAGTAGCCTCTTTTTCAACTTAACAGATGGTATGGGGATCACATGACGAAGTTTCTACAACATCCTTTCAGAGAATTTTGCTTTAATGAGGCATACAGAAGGATGAGGGGGCATATCACCCCCAAGAAATAGGTATTGTACTGAGACCTAACTCTTCATATAGACAGGAGGAAAAAAGGAAGGACAGGGTTTTTAAATGAGAATAAAGATGAGATTAAAAAGGAAGACTTGAGAATGAAAGAGAAAAGATAAAAGAAAAAGCTTGAGTGGCAGACAAGCAACTAAATTTGATTCAAGGACATAAGATGCACACATCTGAGAGTCTGGAGACTTCAAAAGGAAAATAGCCTAGTGAAGCTTCCTCCCCTTATTATTAGCAGTGCTAATGAGTGCTACTAAGTGGTAATTAGCTTCTGGTCTTCACAGCTTTTACTCTTCACTAAACTGAAGCTCAGCTTTGGATTATCCACAACTAATGTCATCTAATTGTTGGCAGCACTGAAGGTCCTTAAAACAGAGAGTAGGTCTTATAAAGAAAACCCCTCTTCTCACTCATGTATAGCAATAATTACAGGAAAAATAGACAATGCATTGCTGGCTACTCTATGCACACAAGAGATTCTGATCACCCAACAGGTGCACTTCGGTGTCGTGTTGTGCACTTCTCGAAGTTACTATACTCATTTTCCCAGTCATACACATCCTTGAAACACGGAGAGTTACTACAGTTGAACCTTTCAACAACTGTCCCAGGGAAGAAAGGGAGAGAAAATCTTTCTCCTCCACCCTAAAAGATATGGGACACACTTTTGGTTTCAAGTACACTGCCATTAAAACTTTAAATTCTTAACCCATACTCCATAACAAAAGTTGAATTTCAAAGATGGGTCCAGCACAGTTTCGAACATATCACAGGCTCTTATTAAACGCTGGTTGCACAAATGAAACAAAGCAAACCTCTGCCTGCTCTTTCTAAATCATCCTCCCAGCTGAGGAATAGTTAAAATCTCAAAATAGGAAGAACGTGCTTCCAGAAATCAGAAAACAGGAAAGTATTTTTAAGCCACTCTGTACAGCAAAGAAAGAAAACAGATGCGAATATTTGCATTCGTTTTAGGGGAGTTTCGAGTCTGTAAAACCACCGAAACGTTCAGCGACAAAAATCAAAAACCTTAAGCATACTTCGCAATTTTGGAACCGTTGAGCTAGAACTCTGACATCTCGGTCTGCGCAGCTGGCTGTAAGGCAACAAAGCCAATGTGTCTGCACTAGAACTTTGATAAAAGACTTCTAGAATCCCAGGTGATTGTGGCTTTCATTTGAAACCTTCCAACCTGGATACGCGCCAGACAAGCCCAGCTTCCTCTGAGAATTCGAGTGACTGGCAGGAGACCCCAAAGCAGGGTCTGGGCCCCTCGCTCCAGGGGGTATCTCAGAGCATCCCGCCTTTCCAGTCACCCCAAGTCTGTGTTCTGTGGTTCTCCTTGAAGCTCGCACCGAGCGCCAACAGAGGACCGTGTCTGTGCAGCAAGACGATTCCGTCCTGAGAGAGAATGCCCTGGAAACCACTGCGGGTCGGCGCAAGCCTGGGCGCTGGACCACCAGCCGGAGCCCCGCGGGCAGCGCGCGCGACACCGCCCCCGGCCGCAGACAAAGGCGCGGCCCCGCCCGGCCGGCGCGGCGCTCACCGCTCAGGTAGTTTGTCCACTTGTACAGCACCCCCTCCATGGCGCCGCGCCGTCCAAACCCGCCGGCCCCTCACTGGCCCTGGGCTCTGGAGGCGAGGAGCACCAGCAGCGAGGCCATCGCCGGCGCGACCCGGACGCCCACTGCCGGCGCCCGGGACCGGCGCGAGACGCCCGGCCCTGCTTACATCCTCGGCCCGGGGGCGGGGTCACTGCGGCCGGCGAGGGTCCGCGCGGTGGGGCCGGACCTGGCGTCTAGGAGGAGGCCCAAGTGCTGGGAGAATCCCGGGGTGCGAGACCCTCTGACTGCGGAGAGCGAGCCGGACAACTGCCGGCTGCGCCCCAGCTTTACCTCAGCTCCCGACCCCCAGCCCGGAGCACGCTCGCGCATGCTCAGTTGGCCGCTCGCACGCAAGTTCCCGAAATCCACTCCGGAGTTTCGCAGCGACTGCGACGGTGGCCGGACTGAGGTAGCCCAGACGCCTGCCGGGAAATTGAGTCTCGGGGTGCTGGCTGGGGAGTGGGCGTTGAGTGAGGGGAGTGGGTGGCCTCTGACACCCAGTTTGACTGTAAATAGTACTGTTTAGGGGTAGGCTGCTGGCTCCCAAAGTTTGAGGGTCTACACATTACGCCATCTTTATTTCAAGGTTGTCTAATTGATTCCACGCACTGGAGATACCCAACAAGAGGGCATAGTGACCTCTCTCTCAGGATGTGGGAATTTCAGGATACAATGTTAAACCCTGTGTAAATAGGTTTTATGCAAATCTTAAGGCCTCGCTCCTTGGAAGCATGGTCCTGGGATCGAAGGCACTGATCTCACCTAGAATCATGTTAGAAATGCACACACACACACTCAAAGGCAGAATCGCACCAAAATCCGGAACTCCAACTCAAAATGTTCATTTTAACAAGATTCCTAGGGGAATTCCTATGGGGTGGGGTGTGAAAATGCACGCCTTGAAGGATATTTGATCCGGAAAATGTTTAATCATAGGATAAGTGGAAGGAACTTTAGAAAAAGTGTACAATAGGATACAGATTGTTTCGAGTATAATGTCGCAGATTCAGATCCCAAAATGTTAAAATGATTATTTGTGGATGGTTCTTTTTGCCTACAGCAAGGTTACTAGATTTAATAAATAAAAGTACGTAACAATTTAGAGGTTACTTACCGGAAATTCAACTATTTAATTGGGCTCCTTACCATTTTATCTGGAAATACTATTTTGGCGCTTTCCAGTTTTGCTCTAAATCAACTAAACTGAACATGTGTTACATTTGAAACTAGGAGAAACTTGAACTGGAGAATTTAAGATGAGATTATGTAATTTTAAAGCATAATTAGTATTTCTCTTTAAAGTGGAAATATGCACGTCCCTTTTTACTTATTTATTTATTATTTTGCGATACTGGGGGTCGAACTCACAACCTCGAGCTTGTCAGCCAGTCGCTTATGACACTGAGCTAAATCCCCAGCCCCTTACCCTTTACATTTAAGTCACCTATATGATAAGTTAGCAGCCATAACATTACATGGTGTGAAATTAATCAGGTCTGGTTTGAAGACAGAGCTCAATACTTTTGGGGCCAAGGTATCTTAAGCAGACCATGTAACTGCTCCCAGCCTAAATGTACTTACCTCCTAAATGGAATAAAAGAACCCGTCTTGGTGTCATAATGCGGTTTGTGTTCCCGGAATGCGCTTTGTGAACTCTAAAGCATCTTGTAAATCATCACATTTTGTATTGTATATTCATAAGCAATATCAGGAGGCTTGGATTATGGAATCTTTGTGAGGGAAGGTGCTTCAACTGTGACAGTAAACAGGTAAATAAAGGAGAGTAAATAAATCTTTCCTGAAATCTCTACGATGTCATTTCCTGACTCTCACAACCTTGTTCCGCTGGGAGTACGATTCCTGGCGGAGCTTCCGGTTAGCTCGCGCTGCACCCTTCTCCCTAAATCCCGGCTAGCGGAATTCTTTAATCTCCCAGGCTCTAGGACCGCTCGGGACGGTTCCCAGCCCCTAGGCTGAGGGGTTCAAAGGGCTGTAAATTACACAGTTGCAGTATCATTCGCTGGAGAAGTGCTGAGCGATAGGACCTACAGCCAATGAGAGTCGGCCTCCCCTCTTCCCCGCCCAGCGGCCGCTTTATAAGAACCAGTCAACTTCGGTTTGGGATTTAACTCTTTATTGTGAGTCTGCTACGTGTGGGAAAGTTGTTGGTAGTAAAAGTGCCACGTCTACTAAGAGGGAGAGTCCCGAGTTTGCCAGAGGCCGTTGTACTTAAGCCTACAACTGCATTTTTAACTGTAAAGTCGGGGGCCTTTTCTCTGTTTTTATAGTGACTTCTATCTAGCGTCAGTGACATGAGGCTTTTCTTGTGGAACTCGATCTTAACGTTGTTAATCATGTCTTTGAGTGGAGCTCTGATCCCCGAGCCAGAAGTGAAAATTGAAGTTCTCCACAAGCCATTCATCTGCCATCGCAAGACCAAAAGAGGGGATTTGATGTTGGTCCACTATGAGGGCTACTTAGAAAAAGATGGCTCCTTATTTCACTCCACGTAAGTAATTATCCACTGCAGGTAAAATAATAGCCTGCCCACCTACACCAGCTCTCTTGGAGGAAAGATAGGGTGTAGTTGGTTTTACTTGTCTTTTGAGAAACCTGAATTAACTCATATTTGGGGAAAGAAAATTTTCTAAAGCCAATTGTGTGTTGCCAGGCCTTTGAAGGACTTACTGGAAACATGTGGTCCAGATAATGTTGTTAGATTTTTATTGTAAAACATTAGAACTAGAATCTTTGACGTTTTACATTAATATCTAGGTGTATCAGAGAGCACTAACTGCAAAAGCTTCAGAAAATTGTCATATTTCAAATTCCATTCCTGGGGGAAAATAATTCCATTTCAGTTTGGTACAGTTTATTTAAAACTTCTCACAGCAACTTCGAGAGCAAAATACAGTTATTTGCCTCTCAATAAAAGGTATATGAATGCTGTTATATTGACCTATTTAACTTTTGTTCTGACATGACATTTTGGTCAAGGACAAAACTGTGATTTTTGTGGTCATTTGCTCTTTTCTAGAAAATCAGACTTTATTCACTAGGGTGGGTATTACATAGAGACTTCTTGAAGAAGTTTTACCCGAAGGATTTTCAGGGGATTATACTATCATTTCTGTTCTTTAAACAAAGAAATTGTAAGATGGAAAAGGTACAAGTGTAATGATTTCCAGTTAGGCATTATTTCTATTCATTCCATTTAAAGTATTTAGTGAACACTTCCTCTTTGGCTTTTATGTTGGTTTATAATCAGTCATTCATTAGATGATGATCTATCCATCTACCACACTCATATTAAATGGCCTAAAGTCAGGTCCTGGAGATGTGAAGAACACTAGACTGCTTCTCGTTCTCCAACATGCACCATTCACAGGGGTGAGGGAGAAAATGATGTTTGGCCTGGGATAGCTGGGACTCAGTTATTCTCTGGGATTCAGGGGAAATAAAACTTCCTGGAGGTCAAAATTGAGACAGGCTTTGAAAGATGGATGAGGGCACTTTCGATAGATTGAACAATATGAACTGAGCCATGAATCTTTACACCCAATCCTAGATCCTGTTTCTGACAGACTGCCTTTACAGCCATTCAGATCTGGTCTTTTGCAGGATTTAGAAGAAGTGAATGGCACTCCTCTCTGAACTTCGTTAACTCTGGTAAAAAGTTTGAAAGAGATAGCTTGATCTGGAATTCTCAAGGACCCTTTCTTGTCCACAGTAGTCATTATATATATTGTGATATTACATTTTAAATTTTCAGTTGCAAGCCAGGCATGGTGGGGCATTCCAGCACTCAGAAGGCTGAGGGATGAAGACAGTCACAAGTTCAAAGCCAGCTTTGGCTATGAAAATTGACTCTGTCTCAAAAACAAAAAAAGAAACCTTTTTTCCCAATAACTTTTAATCTAATCTCTTTTAGGCCTAGGCTAATTTCTTCTAGATCTCAAGACCATAACCCTGTGCTGACTTTGGTGTTAGCCATGAGATACTGCTCGGCAGTGAACTTGAGTGTTCTAGTATCTAATAAAGGAACTGTTGTCATGTCACCTCCTTGTAAATGGTCAGAATCTGCTAGCTGTGAACTGCGTGGAAACGTAGCATCAAATGATAAATCTGTAAGGCATTCTTACTAGCTTGTCATGGTGGTGCATGCCTGAAATCCTAGCATTTGGGAAGCTGAGGCAGAAGGATCACTATAAGTTCGAGGCTAACCTGAACATTTGTCAAGAGCCTATCTCAAAAAAAAAAAAAAAAAAAAAAGAAAGAAAGAAAAAAAGCAAGAAAGAAAAGAAACCAAAATAAAAACTAAATACAGCATGTTTGCTGTTTTCAAAGCCATAATCTGTGTGGTGCTTAGCCATAATAAGAAATGTACCAAAGCTGAGCACTGTGTAATGGTGCACACCTCAGATACTTGAAAGTCTAAGGCAGGAGGACTGCAAATTTGAGGCCAGCCTGGGCAACTTAAAAAAAATTATCTCAAAATAAAATAAGGACTGTGCATACAGCTTACTGGTAGAGTGCTTGTCTAAGGCATGTATAAGGCTCTGGGTTCCTTTTACACACACACACACATACACAGAGGAAATGTGCCAAACTGGGCAATAGTTTCTTCCTTTATTATTTTCTAAACTTCCTAAATTTTGAAGGTTGGTATTATTATTTCCTTGGTCACGGGGATAAAGTGAAAGAAAAGAAGAAATAGCATTTATCAGATTTTTTTAACCATGGTACCCATGAAATTGGTACAGTGACCCCTTGCTCTTGCCTATGAGATATTCTGGAATAGAACACTTTCCTTATTGCACCAAAAGGAAGCTAACTGAGACTCAGACACTACTCATCCCCCACACATCTCCCTCCCGCCACAGGTTGTCAGATTGATTTTCTTGTTCTGGCTTCTCTTTATCTCAAGTGCCAGGACAATTTGACCATTCGCTTCCTCTCTAGAGACTGAGGGATCCCTTCTCCAGCCTTCTTACATAGCCCCACTGGATCTCTGGGGAGAGAGTTGAGCCTGGGTGTGAGGAGAAGCCCTTTCTACCCACCAACAGGAAGGCTTGGAGGCTGATGTAAGATGCTGTGCTGCTGTCTCTGTGTCCATGGCCATATGGACCCTCATGTATTGGCAGTGAATTCTCTTTACTCTGTCATCCTCCTTCCCAAACTCAGTCATTTTCCATTATTTTCTCCCTGAGCTACAGCCATTTTCTGTTTTCCTCCTAGATGAGTGTAACTTTGTGGTTGAGACCTTGAACTTTGTGTTTTTTTAAATCTTAAAGCATTTTATTATAATCAATATATCTAAAATATTATAATTTCAATATATGATCAATATAAAATTATTAATGAGATATTTACATTCCTTTTTGTTACTGGTTCATCAAAAGCTCTATGGGTATCTCTATAGGGCTATGTGTTATACTTAAAAATCTGTTTTAACTTGTGCTAGGTACATTTTGAGACTTTGAACTCTGGAATAAGATTTATATGGAAGGTCAAATGCTAGCAAACACTGTCATTTCTTCATCTACACAAGAAGGCAATAATTGGACTTCTGCATCTTCAGATACAACCAATCATGAACCAAAAATATTTGAAAAGCACTATGTCTATTTTGGACATGTAATGACTTTTCCTTGCTATTATTCCCTAAGCAATATGGTTGAACAACTATATATAGCATTTACATTATGTTAGGTGTTGTGAGTAATCTAGAGATGTTTTAAAGTATATAGTAGATGACATGCAAATGCTACAGACTTGAACACCTTTTGGTATAGGCAGAGAGGGTAGGGACAAAGTAAATGTCTACTGATCAGAGAACCATTGTTAGACTTAAAAGAGATAAATTTAGGACAACATATGGTACACACTAAATGTTCCTTGTGAATTATTTTTCTTATTCTGCCTTTCTGAAGCCGATTCAATAGTATGAAATTTGCCTCAAGAATGAATTGGTTGAATTGCTTTGACTTGCAGCTGTGAGTGCACAATGAAAGAATAGCTGTTTTCATTAATTTCCAACCTAAAAATACTTAATAAGTTATGGGCGGAAAAAAGTGCAACACAGCAATTTTAAAAGTAAGCCTCTGAAGAGTTCTAATGTGTAGAGTGCTTGTCTAGCATACGCGAGACCCTGGGTTCAATCCCCAGCAGCTCAAAACACAGAAGTACTAATGTGTTTTCTTTCTGTTATAGTCACAAACATAACAATGGTCAGCCAATTTGGTTTACTCTGGGCATCCTGGAGGCGCTCAAAGGCTGGGACCGGGGCTTAAAAGAAATGTGTGTAGGAGAGAAGAGAAAGCTCATCATTCCTCCTGCCCTGGCCTATGGGAAAGAAGGAAAAGGTAATGACACTTATACATGTCTTACTGTAAGCAGCTGAGTTCTTCTCTGGATTAGGAGACAGAAGTTAGACTCATTTTTTACCCTAGAAGTGAACAAACTTGTATTCCTTTAGGAAATATGGTTATATCTTGATTACTAAGTGAAATAACCAGGTAAGGCCATAAGATCTAAAGGGCAACTGGGCTAGCAATGAAATAAAAGTTCTGGATCATTGAACTCTATTAACACTGTTCAACAATAGGGTAGATTTTTGAAAGTTGTGTGAAAACACACACAACATAATATTTACCAGTTGAAACATTGTTAAGTATGCAGTTAGTTCAGCGGCACTAACATTTTCATCCTCTCAAACCATTCCTCACCAATTTGTTTTACTAATGCAAAAGAAAAGACCACTCAATATAAGTACCTTGATGAGTTGAATATTTAAAATACAGGTTATTAAAACCCTAAAGGCAGTTTTACATATGTGGCTTGCAACCATGACATCGCTCCCAGGATAGCCACTTACCAGGGTTTCTTTTAATTCTCACTTTAAAATGTGTGAAGTTTTAATAATTTATTTAAAAATAGTAGAGTGACTTGAAATGAATTACTTCTCCCTATATCACAAAACAGACACAAGCCAGAAAACATCTACCATATAAGTGGGAACTCTTGGGACCTTCCAAAGGACTTTTGGTGATTTCTATCAAGAGACAGGAAGATGTTTATATACATTCATTTTTTAGTTGTTTTATCGAAATCTAAGCTTAGGGAATAACCATGTATTAAGGCAAAGGTCTCTAAACCAGGATACCCATCCCTCCATTGTTTCTGACAGTAAACAATTGGAATTAGGTTAGGTGTACCGTGATAAGAGCTAATACAAAAATAGCCTTTTGAAAGAACATTTTCAAAGATTTTTTAAAAAAACTATATCTAAAATGTAAAGGTAGAAAATAAAGCTACTGTAAAGGTAGAAAATAAAGCTGCTGTATATACTTGTGATGCACACCTATAAGTGTAAGAAAAAGTATATACTGTATGTATAGGAAGTGAATCACAAGGAAATAAAAATATTAACAATGGACTTTGGTACTGAGAGTTATATTTATTTCTGGTTCTATCTTCCACATTTGGTTGAGTGAGCATATTACTTATAATGATAAAAAATATTTAAAGTGGTCATCAGAACCAGACAGAGACCTGCTCTGATATAAGACAAACAACAACAAGAACTTGCCAGCATCCAGAGGTCAAGCTAACTAAGATTCATTCCTAGGTTACAAAAGGAAGTAAGGGTCAGGATTTGTAGCCCCAGTTCCTATAAAGAAAACAAGTACTGTATGTGAAGCCTGACATTTTCTAAAATGGAACTAGCGCCAGCCATGGTGATGCACATCTATAATCTCAGTATTTGGGAGGTTGAGGCAAAGGGATTCCTGCAAGTTCAAGGCCAGCCTGGACTACATACATAGTGAATTAAAGGCCAGCCTGATCTACATAGCGAGACCTTGTCTCAAAAAGAAAAGGAAGAGCTGGGGTTAGAGTGCAGAGGTGCAGCACCTGCCTGGCAGGCACAAGGTCCTGAGTTCAGGAGGAAAAGGAAAAGAAAATGGATCGGCCTATATAAATCTTATAAATAGGCTAATATTCACTAACTAAATTCAATTCTTATTTTAATTATAATCCTCTTTAGAGAAAACAATCCAGTATATAGGAAATATCTAGGCTTAAAAGTATTTTGGTTTCCTGTATCTTCATCGCTTTGCCTTTAATATTTATATATGTAATATTAGTCTGTTACTCGAGCTCCTTACTATATTTAACTCAAATTTACTTCATAATGTAGTCATCTTCAAACTGAGTGCCATGAGACTAATTTTCCTAATTTATATTTAACCCTGATTTTATAGTCTTTTAGTACGTGCTTGCATGCCTTCTTGGAAAGATACCAGTTTTCTCACCCATCTAGTGCATGTCTCTTCTCTGTCTCCATCTGGAACGGTAAGCTTTGGCTCACAATGTAAGTGCTCTTCTTTTAAACCTTTTAAATGCTCTTTCACAGAAATACGAAGGGGATGAAGTGGAGGACTCAGTGACACTTCATATGTTTATGTAGACTTTTAGTTACATATGATTATAAGGGAACAAATTTGAAAAACATTTTTTCTGTACTTTCCAGGAAGATTTTTTTGGTTAGTTGGTTGTCATAGTATGTAAATAATTTTCACTGTATATGACATTTTCACTACCCTGGAACTCTAACAAAGCTCTTTTCATTTTGAAAGTGAAAGACACTTTAATTTTAATTTCTCTCTTCCCATGAAATGCCTGAAGCATATATATCATGTTCTATACCAGAGAAGATGTTGACTAGTTTTTGAAATGTTTGACCTTTCCAGTATTATTTTTAAAGCCTACAAGAAAATAATCTCAGTAACATATGTTTCTAGCTTGAAATTTATTAAGCATAATGCTGAATATTATATTTTTCAAGGATTTTCTTTCTTTTGCCCCCCAGTGGGCCCTTAAGGTACAAGATATTATCATCTGTGTCTTTCAGATGAGGAAACAAGCTTAGAGATGGGCATATTTAAATTACAATTCTAGAGTCTGACACCAGGAATCAATCAATTACAGGCTGCTGCCTGCCCAGTGGTAAAAGTTACAGGACTTTCTGACCCAGAAGTTAGTAAATCACTTGATATAATTAACTCTGAATTAGCTAAATCCCTTTAATCATTCTTGACATATAATATGTAATACTTTAATTATTTTTGAAATTTAATATCCAGACTATTGGATACATCTGTGTTGTGTGTGTGTATGTGTGTGTGTGCACACACATGTGTAATTACTAAGCTAAAAACAGAAGGCTTTTTTGCTTTATTGTTTTAGATTATTCCTTCTTTAGTTTATTTGTACAAATAAAATATAGTATGTAAATAGTTTTCACTGTATATGACATTCTCTGAAAGTTTCTTTTTCTTTAATTCAATAGCCTTTTTACCAGAACCATGATTTTGTATTAAAACTTTGGGGTCTGGAGGTATAGCTCAGTGGTTGAGTACTTGCCTAACAAGCCTGAAGACGGGTTCAGTCTCTAGCACTGCAAAACAAAAACATAACAACAAACAACTTTTAAATAAAAATGTGCCACCTTTCTCCTGATGTCAGGTAAAATCCCCCCAGAGAGCACATTGATATTCAACATTGACCTCCTGGAGATTCGAAATGGACCAAGATCCCATGAGTCATTCCAAGAAATGGATCTCGATGATGACTGGAGACTCTCTAAATATGAGGTAATCTTTCTTTCTACCTATGGGTTTTTGTTCTTTGATAGCTCACTGTTTCAGAAATATATTTAAATGACACTTTATTTTTATTTAAGGAAATGTTATATAGAAATTTTCTTGAAATACTGATTGCTATGGCTTGTGCTTAGATGTCCCCTCAAAACCTCATGCGGTCATAGGTGGGGCTTTTTCAGAGGTATCTGGATCTAGAGTGTGTGATGCTGGAATTGACCAATGGTACAGTGCTAGGTTCAAGGGTAGTAGGATTTGATTAGCGGTTTGAGTACTACCTGCCCTAAGTAGCCCAGATAAGATATAAGAGGTGGAAAGAGATGTGGTCATTCCTTGTTTCTTTGCTACCTATTGACCCGCCATGAACTTTTCTCTGCACTGCCTGTCTGCCATCCACCCTGCCTTGAAGCCAGTTAATGATAAACTAAAATCTACAAACTGTGAGCTAAATAAACCTTTCCTCCCTTAATTTGTGTGTGTTGGATACTTTGTCTCAACAATGAGAAAGTAACTAAGACCCTAATGCTGTGAAAGTTGATTTTTTCATAGGAAACATTGTTTCAGGGAGAAATATATTGATACTTAAAAAGCACCGTTCGGGCCACACTACCAGCCTAGCCCAGCCTGTGTAGCTGCCGCGCCTGGCCATCGGTCTGCAGAGGAGGAGCTGGGCAGATCTGGGGTGCCCTCACTGGCCTCTCTGCGTGTCTGGAGGACTCTGGATATCTGCGCCCAGACTGCTGGAGTTCCCTCAGGCTTCCAGGTGCAGTGAAGGAGAGAGGTGGGTTTGAGGCTTCCACATCAGCCTCCCCATTCCCGGCTTCATTTGGAGACCTGCTGAGCTCCCGATAGGTGGGCTGGCCCACACTACCAGCCTAGCCCAGCCTGTTTAGCTGCCGCGCCTGGCCATAGGTCTGCAGAGGAGGAGCTGGGCAGATCTGGGGTGCCCTCACTGGCCTCTCTGCGTGTCTGGAGGACTCTGGATATCTGCGCCCAGACTGCTGGAGTTCCCTCAGGCTTCCAGGTGCAGTGAAGGAGAGAGGTGGGTTTGAGGCTTCCACATCAGCCTCCCCATTCCCAGCTTCACTTGGAGACCTGCTGAGCTCCCCATAGGTGGGCTGGCCCACACTACCAGCCTAGCCCAGCCTGTGTAGCTGCCGCGCCTGGCCATAGGTCTGCAGAGGAGGAGCTGGGCAGATCTGGGGTGCCCTCACTGGCCTCTCTGCGTGTCTGGAGGACTCTGGATATCTGCGCCCAGACTGCTGGAGTTCCCTCAGGCTTCCAGGTGCAGTGAAGGAGAGAGGTGGGTTTGAGGCTTCCACATCAGCCTCCCCATTCCCGGCTTCACTTGGAGACCTGCTGAGCTCCCCATAGGTGGGCTGGCCCACACTACCAGCCTAGCCCAGCCTGTTTAGCTGCCGCGCCTGGCCATAGGCCTGCAGAGGAGGAGCTGGGCAGATCTGGGGTGCCCTCACCGGCCTCTCTGCGTGTCTGGAGGACTCTGGATATCTGCACCCAGACTGCTGGAGTTCCCTCAGGCTTCCAGGTGCAGTGAAGAGGAGAGGTGGGTTTGAGGCTTCCACATCAGCCTCCCCATTCCCGGCTTCACTTGGAGACCTGCTGAGCTCCCCATAGGTGGGCTGGCCCACACTACCAGCCTAGCCCAGCCTGTTTAGCTGCCGCGCCTGGCCATTGGTCTGCAGAGGAGGAGCTGGGCAGATCTGGGGTGCCCTCACTGGCCTCTCTGCGTGTCTGGAGGACTCTGGATATCTGCGCCCAGACTGCTGGAGTTCCCTCAGGCTTCCAGGTGCAGTGAAGGAGAGAGGTGGGTTTGAGGCTTCCACATCAGCCTCCCCATTCCCGGCTTCACTTGGAGACCTGCTGAGCTCCCCATAGGTGGGCTGGCCCACACTACCAGCCTAGCCCAGCCTGTTTAGCTGCCGCGCCTGGCCATAGGCCTGCAGAGGAGGAGCTGGGCAGATCTGGGGTGCCCTCACCGGCCTCTCTGCGTGTCTGGAGGACTCTGGATATCTCTGCAACCAGGGAGGGTCCACAGGTTCCTGAAGCACTGCGGCCTGTGGTGAGTACCCTAACCCGGCTGCGATTGAAGAACTGTGGAGCTTCCAAGGGGCAGGTGGGCGCACAGTGTCCCTGAGGCCCAGCTTGTCTGGAACTGCGGAGTTCTGAGCAGGCAGAGGAGGGCCACTGGTTCTGTAGGCCTAATGGCTTGGGTTGCGCGGCGCCAGAGTCTCAGTAGCTCCAAACATAGAAGGAGATTTTCAACAGATCCTGAGGAAGCTTTCAAATAACACTTGAAACACAGAAATATAGGAAAATGACAAAACGAAAGACCAAATTACAACCTCAAACCTCCAGCCCATCTCAAGAAACCCTAGGAGCGATGTATATAGAAGAAAATATATCCCATCCACCTCATATATCGGACACAATAGCCACTGAAATTGACAAGCAACTCCAGGAAGCTTTAAAGAAATTCAAACTCGAAATAATCTCCCAGATAAAAGAAGAATTGATAAAAGAAATGAAAGAGATTCTAAATATATCTAAAGAAAACACAGATAAAAAATTGGAGGAACTAAACAAAAAGATAGAATCCCTAGACGAGCAATATAAGAAACAAACAGAATACATAATGCAGATGCACAGAGATATACAGGAAATAAAAAACTCCACTGAAAGTTGTAAAAACCGCCTTAATGAAAGTGAAGATAGAATTTCAGACCTTGAAGACAGGATTGCAGCTAGTGAACAGGAAAGGAAAGATCTTTTGAAAATAACAAGGAACCAGGAAACAACAATTCAACAACTGCAAGACGATGCAAAGAAGAATAACATAAGAATGATAGGGATTAATGAAAGAGAGGGAGACAACATGAAGGATGTCAGGAGGATATTTAGAGAAGTAATAGCTGAAAATTTCCCAAGCATGAGATCAGAAACTGACATCAGGATCAGTGAAGCATATAGAACTCCAAACAGTCATAACCAAAATAAAACTACACCCAGACATATAATAATCACCATCCCAGAAATCCAACACAAGAATAGATTATTAAAAGCTGTCAGAGAGAAAAGACAAATCACTTATAAAGGAAAACCTATCAGAATCACAGCAGACTTCTCAGCACAAACTATAAAGTCAAGAAGAGCATGGAGTGAAGTATTCCAGATCCTAAAGCAAAATGATTTCCAACCAAGACTGATATATTCTGCAAAACTATCATTCAAAATAGATGGTGCAATACGATGCTTCCATGACAAAGAACAGCTGAAGAACTTCATGAACACCAAACCAACCCTGCAAAAAATATTGAAAGACAGTTTAGATACACAAAGGAAAAAACCACTAAGCAAAGCAAATAATTAAACAGAACCGAAAGATAAAGATGCAACAGCAGAGAGATAACATTCCTACAATTAACCAGCATTTAACAGTAATAACCATTAATGTAAATGGTCTCAATGCACCAATCAAAAGAAACAGACTAGCAGAATGGATCAAGAAACAAAATCCAACCATATGCTGTTTACAGGAAACCCATCTAACCCAGAAAGATACTCACAGACTGAAAGTCAAAGGATGGAAAACAATTCTTCATGCAGCAGGAATCCAAAAAAAGGCAGGAGTAGCCATTCTGTTTGCAGACAACGTGAACTTTAAACCAACAATGACCATAAAGGACAAAGAAGGTCACTACATACTCGTAAGGGGAAAACTCCAAGAGGAAGAGATAACTATCTTAAATATATACGCACCAAACTCCAGAGCACCCAGTTATATAAAACAATTATTAACAGAAATGAAAACTCAAATTATCAGTAACACAATTGTAACAGGAGACCTTAATACACCACTGATACCAAGGGACAGATCAACCAGACAGAAAATGAGCAAAGAAATAACAGAACTGAATCACACCTGTGAACAAATGGGTTTGATAGACATATACAAAATGTTCCACCCAACAACATCAGAATACACATTCTTCTCAGCAGTACATGGATCATTTTCTAAAATAGACCATATATTAGCTCACAGAACATATTTAAGCAAATGCAAAAGAGTTGAAATCATCCCTTGCATATTATCGGATCATAGCGCTCTGAAATTAGAAATTAATGACAAAGGATACTGCAAAAATTCCGCAAACACATGGAAACTAAATAACACACTCTTGAGTAATCAGTGGGTCACAGAAGAAATTAAAGAAGAAATTAAACAATACCTAAAAGAAAATGAAAATGCAGATACAACTTACCGGAATCTGTGGGATGCAATGAAAGCCGTTCTGAGAGGAAAATTTATTGCACTGAGTTCCCACATCAGGAAAGCAGAACGAATACAAATAAATAACTTGATGCTACACCTCAAACAGCTAGAAAAAGAAGAGCAAGTCAAGCCCAAAGCCAAAAGAGAGGAAATTATAAAAATCAGAGCAGAAATCAATGCAATAGAGACTAAGAAAACAATCCAAAGAATCAACGAATCAAAGAGTTGGTTCTTTGAAAGAATAAATAAAATCGATAAGCCCCTAGCCAACCTTATTAAAAAAAGGAAAGAAAAAGCTCAAATTCATGCAATAAGAAATGAAAAAGGAGAAATCACTACAGACCCAATAGAAATACAGAGGATCATCAACACCTATTTCGAAAACCTCTACTCTCAAAAGTTTGATAACACAGAAGAAATAGACAGATTCTTAGAAGCATATGAAGTACCAAAGCTAGATCAAGAGGATATAAAACTGTTCAATAACCCAATCTCTGCTAATGAAATTGAGAATGTAATTGGGTCCTTGCCCACCAAGAAGAGCCCAGGCCCAGATGGATTCACTGCAGAATTCTACAAGAAATATAAAGAAGACCTAATGCTGACACTCCTCAAACTATTCAATGAAATTGAAAGGGAAGCAATCCTTCCTAAGTCATTCCTGGAAGCAAATATTACTCTAGTACCAAAACCTGAGAAAGAC